ATCTAGGAGGGAGGGGATAGTGGTACAGGAGGAGATGGCTGTGGGGGATGGAGTGGTGGGAGTAATGGAGGAGGTTGTTAGGTGAGGTCAGGTGTTAGGTAAGGTTGGGGTAGGCTTCCCTGAAGAGGAGGGTTTTCAGGGTGCGCCTGAAGGTGAGGAGGGTGGGTGACAGTGATATTTACCCCTCAAAGTATAATCAACAAAGTCTGCTGATTAAAATTATATCACATTAGTGCAAATTTTATGTAACGTAGTGAAATGGCCAAATTATGTACTTTTTATTCCCCTTTCAGCACTACATTGTGACATGCAGTGAAGAAGAAATGGTTTGCATAAATGATTTGTTTATTATTAAGGTTGGGTTGAAGAATATACAAATTATCACATCTTTTTCAAAGGCTTGCTTTTGCTAACAATTCAAATGACATTGCGTTCATTTATATGAGCATTTGATGCTTTTGCAGAAATCACATTTTACTTTTCAAAAATAGTGCTGCTTCCTGCAACGGTAGACCATTACTATTAGAAGTGATCTGTTGCTGCAGAACTGCATGCGAGAGGTGCACCAGGTCTCCACTGACCAGATTTGGAACCCCCATGAAAAAAAAAAGTTAAACAGATGTAAATAATATAAACGTTTTCTTGATGGGAAGCCTGCAGGGAGAGATGGGGTGATAGTGGAGAGAGCTGCAGCTCTGCCCTAGCATCTGTACTCAAAAGAGGTGCCATGATGTCTTTCAAGATGTCATTACACATTCAATGAAAATACAATTCAGAATAATGGTGTTTGCATGTTCTTCTACAGCTCACTTCTATGCATCTACAGTATACACAGAAATATCAGAAGCCCAGGAGCAAAGTGTTTGAGCACCAGGGAGCGCTTGGTCTTGGCTGTCACTGATAGTTGGTGATTCTCGTTCTAGAGCCAGTGGAGGTCTGTGGGAGCCGCTGACTCTGGTGCAATTTTAAAATGACTTTGGGACAAATTTGGCATAATTTTTATAACATGTTAAAAAATTACATTAAATGTCAACTATAATATTTTGCATGTCATGTATTGTGAAAAGATACAATGATTTCATTTTTGGGGGGTTTAATTTGCTACATACATACATATAGTCAGGCATTTTTTTTTACTGCTTGTAAACAGCCCTCCATGTTATCCTATGTGTCCATGCACACATAGACTTTTAGGAGCTTTTAGTGGCAAGGGCATTTACAGACAGGAAAAAAAAACAGTGCTTCCAGTAGCAGCAGCATTTTGGCAGAAAACTCTTGACCCGTCTAAATGTGTTTTAATGCTAGGCATGTTTTGCACTTAATTTATTTCAATGTATAAAATAAATTATTATTCTGGCCAATTAAAACGAATTGACGCTCAACCGTTTGATGCCTGTAAACGTGCCTAAACGCTTGCAAAAGCCTTAGATACGTTTACAAGCATGAGGCGTTTTTCCTGCAAAACCAGTGCCGAGGAAAGCTTCTAGGAGAATTTTTTTAAAGTTCTGTGTGCATGAAGCCAAAAATTCATACAGACTACAGAAAAGAATGAAATTCTAGTATAAACCTAATAGATATATGTGTTTGAGGCAGAGGCGGACTGACCATTTGGAAACTCGGGCACTGCTTGAGGGCCCAGGGTCAGTAGGGGGCCCCATGAGATGCCCCTGGTATGTTTTTCATAGGCTTTTTTGAGTTTGGGCAAGGACACATGGGCCCCATGATCCCCTATTGCCCGGGGGCCCCATGAGTTGTCAGTCCGCCCCTGGTTTGAGGATAAGTTAAAAAATATGCACTAGCCCATTTATTGGATATGTTACAATGTCATTTTTTTACAGATGCAAGCTTGTATTATTTTCATGCTGGCTAGAATATCTTTGGACCGTAATCTTAATTTAATGGATAAGTGCACATCAACACATAGGTATCTAACATGTGTCTTGTATCCCCTATACCAATGAAGCACAATTTTAGTCAGAAAGACCAACTGAGCATTACCACAAATTACAAGAAACATCCCGTAAAAATGGTTATAAGCTTAAAATGAATCTAAACATTTTTGTTCCATTTTAGGTAGAGTGGGGAGAGTTTTAAACTTTGTCAAGTTTTTACTGCTGTCTGTGTCTCCACAGGAAAATCCCTCTCTCTAATGGTACTTGTGACCACTCTCCGCAAGACTGAAAGTGAAAGAAAAAGTACAATTTTGAGCAAACATTTGAACAGAAATGGAAGAGAAGTCTTCTAAAGAGGGCGTATGGTCCAGTGACAAGTGTGTAAAAAAGGATTTTTCTTTAACGTGATCTCATCTCATTTACTTTTGGGTCTTGTGACAGGAAGCAAAGGGAAATCTCTCCAATAGAGCACAGACAGCAAGAAAACCTGCTTTAACCATTCATTACTCTTTCCAAAAGTAAATAAAAATGTTGGGCTTTAGACATTTTTTAACATTTCACATACTAAGGAAGGCTAGATATAAGAGAAAAGTAAATGGCATGTGAGTGACATCAGCAGCCAAGCTCAATTAACTAAACTATAACGCAAGAGTTATTTGCCATAATGGATGTTATTTTTAGCCATGTGGCTGTTATTATTCAGCTTTCATTGCTCTCAATATGGAAAACAACGATCATATTAGCTTAGCTATTAAAGTCTACAGATCATTTTTACTAATAGATAAAATCGCTTTCATGTCTTTACCTAGACTCTAAAGCAGTGTTTCTCAATTCCAGTCCTCATGGACCCCCAACAGGTCATGTTTTCAGGATTTCCATTATTTTGCACAGGTGATTTGATCAGTTTCACTGCCTTAGTAATTACCACAGCTGTTTCATCTGAGGGAAATCCTGAAAACATGACCTGTTGGGGGTCCATGAGAACTGGAGTTGAGAAACACTGCTCTAAAGGAACCTGAAAATGTTCATATTGGTAGTGGTCAAATCTTTAGATTCTAGATATGCCTAGCTACTAAAGTAACAAACTCAAGCTAGTTATATGCTTACAGTTATGTGTAAGATTAGTGTTTAGGTGGCAGCTAATGGATGTTATAAAGTAATTATGCTACAGTTTTGAAGTTTGTATAAAACACTAGGGGCACAGTTACAATTTTTACATAGTTACATAGTTAGTCAATTTGAAAAAAGACACTATGCAATCTAGTTGAACCAATTTAAAACAATGCACACATAAATAGAATACCTCCATATACTGTATACTATCCTATACACACAATAATATAAACAATAAAATATGAGCGCTGGGTGATAGCAGGAAAAAACAGAAGGAAGCAGCCAGCATAGAAGAGGAAACAACCTCAAATCCTCCAAGATATGCCAAGAATAATAGTACAATTGCGGCGCTATAGAGTATTAACAGTACACAAATGGTATCTCAAAGTAACAAAAATATTGGATATAGTTCATGCGATATAATGTGACTGTGGTGACACAATGAGCAATTGAAAATGTGTTGTTACACGAAACGCGTTAGGGAGGTACCCTTTCTCATGGAATACTAACTGCATGACCTACTGTCTACCTCAGATGTAAGTGCTGATTCTTTTTTCTGTACCTTGATGTTACTCCTTTTGTGATCATTAAACATACTACACTATTGGAGTTCTTTCTCTCTGGGCTCAATTTTTTGTGGCACCGAGAGTCCTTCTCCTGAAGGTACCTTCCTGGATTCTCATCTGAATGTATGATCCCCCTGATGGCTGGAAATTGCACTGCTGGACACAGCTTATCTAAGATGTTCACACATTGATGGAAAGTGGAAACCTGCCCTGGATAGATGACAGCTGGTGAGGCACCCCCACCTGATGACCACATCCGCATGCAGAGTTCCCACCCTCAGAGTACCTAGGAGTAGGTCTTATATACTCCAACGCACATTAATCTGTGCTATCTGGTTAGTGCATAGTATGCTCATTGCTTCTGGCCACAGCAGTCACGAAAGCTAATTGTTGCTCATTGTGTCCCCACAGTCACATTATATCGCATGAACTATATCCAATATTTTTGTTACTTTGAGATACCATTTGTGTACTGTTAATACTCTATAGCGCCGCATTTGTACTATTATCCTATACACACAGTTGATCCTAAGGAAGGCAAAAAATAAACCATGATCCAATTTGCTCCAGTGGGGGAAAAAAGTCCTTCCTGATCACCCATGAGGCAACTGGATATTCCCTGGATCAACTACTCCTGTCATTATTACCTCTAAATATTAATAGTTACAGTATATTTTGTGCATTTAGGAATGCATCCAGCTCTTTTTTAAAACAATATACTGAGCTGGCCAGAACCAGTTCTTGTGAGGGCCTATTCCACATTTTAACAGCCCTTACTGTGAAGAAGCCTTTCCGTATGTGGAGATTAAATCTCTTTTCCTCTAGACGTAAAGAGTGCCCCCTTGTCCTCTGTAACAACCTGAAGTGAATTTCACTATTTGGTCCACTTATGTATTTATAAATGTTGATCATATCCCTACTCCTTAATTTCCTCTTCTCAACAAGGAATAAATCCTTTTTGTGAACTGGTACCTAAAACTGAACTGCATATTTTAAATGAGGGTTTATTAATGATTTGTACATGGGCAAAATTATATCTCTGTCTGGGGTCTAAACCTCTTTTACTACAAGTAAGGATTTATTGTTGACCTTGCTAGCTGAGAGCAGAACTGAACAAATTTCTATGTTTACTTTCAGGATACTGCCTCAACTCCAACAAGAGTGGTGTAGGAACCTTATGCTCTTTCAGAGCTACCTATTCTGAGATGGCCCTTTCTCACTATCTTTTGCTGAAAAGGTCATGCTTGACTCCCCAATAATGCTGGAGATGCTACAGATAACATTAACCAATTTCACTAATGAAAAAGAAAAGTGTCTGATCCAGACGGGTTACCATTTGAGGTTCACAAAACACACAGTGAAATTGTATCGCCTCATTTGCTAATTACTGTCACCAAGGGGCGGACTGACCATTCGAGGCACTGCCCAAGGGCCCGGGGTCAGTATGGGGCCCCTGAAATGCCCCTGGTACCTTTTTTATAGCCTTTTTTGGGTGTGCTTTGAGTGTGGGCAAGGACACAGGGGCTCCATGATCCCCTATTGTCCGGGGGCCCCATGAGTTGTCAGTCCGCCCCTGCTCTCAACAAGTTTATGGAAACAGATTCTCTCCCAGATTTTCAATACCAAGCACTATAATCCTTCTCTTAAAGCTTGGTAAAGACCCTCTTCCACTGGACTCATACCGCTCTCTTTCTTTATTAACCACTTGCCCTCCAGAGGATTTACCCCCCCTTCCTGACCAAGCCATTTTTTGCGATACGGTGCTGCATTATTTTAACTGACAACTGCGCAGTCATGCAATGATATGCATAAATTAAATTTATGTTCTTTTTTCCCACAAAAAGAGCTGTCCTTCGGTGGTATTTGATCACCTCAATGTTTTTAATTTTTTTGTGCTATAAACGAAAAAAAGACCGACAATTTTGAAAAAAAAAAATATATTTTTGACTTTCTGATATAAAACATATCCAATAAAAATTTTTTAAAAAATCTAATTTCATCATAAATTCAGGCCAAAATGTATTCTACTACATGTCTTTCCTAAAAAAAAAAAATCCCAATACGTGTAAATGAATTTTTTATTTTTTTTTAATACTAGTAATGGCAGAGATCAGCAACTTATAGCGGGACTGTGGCAGGCATTCTGACACTGGGTGGGAACTGACTAACTGCCACTCACATCCCCAGTGACACTAATACAGTGATCAGTGCTAATAAAAATCACTGACACTGTACTCATGACACTGGGCAGGAAGGGGTTAACTTGTGGGCGATCAAAGGGTTGACTGTGTGCTGTGTGTGTTTTATTGTGTGTGCTGTGTGCTGTTTTATCTTGGAGACATGCTGTTTTGTATTTCTCTGCTGCGCAAATAAATACAAAGCAACATGTCCTTGCTGGCAGGAGATACCTGTGTTGTTTACACACAGGCCTCTCCCCTGTCAGCGTTGCACGGTGGTTGCTGGGTGATGGCGGGGAATCTCTGGCCCAGACCCGGTGATTGACATGCTTAGGTGGTATGCGCACGTGCTCCCTACCCAGAAATGCAAACCACGTATATATTTGTGATTTTGCACAGCCCTGCCACCCTGTAACAGTAGTTCTACTATAGGTAAGCGATTAAACACTGATCTTAAGATCTTCACTAAAGTGTTGTTGATTAGACTTTCTAAAGTCATTTCCACAATTAGGCTAGGTTCACAATATGACAGTGGCTCCCGCTGCTGTCTTTGAGCCTACAAGAAGAGACAGCAGAGAGAGCCACAGCTGTTATACACAGCACTGATGGAGATCAGGCTCAGGTAAGTGAAAGAGCACTACCACAGATGAAATCTGGGAAATCAGATAATCCTGCAAATGCGAACCTATGTGACTACATAAAAATGATATCATATAAACACATGAAAGTGATGAAATTCAATACATGTGACTAAATAAACTTCATTAATCATCTACTATTATGCAAAACATCCTTCTGAAGCAGTTATGATTGGATGACAAAAGGGCAAGGGCTTGGCCGAAAGACGTCATTGTGCAAAGAGGAACTGGAAGTTGGCCAGCTCGGTGAAGTATCTGAAGCCAAAATCCAGCCTTAACGGGGAAACTGGTTTCCTTTTAAAGAGGCAATCTATTCTATGTGCACTGGATGTAGTGTGCTCAGTTTCTCAGTGGATTTTTTTTAACCCTTTAATAAACAATTAATGGGCAATTTACATGTTGCACATTGAGGTTCTCTTTATTCGCTTGAGCATATTTATGAAGGAATGGTGATCCTTGTAAGCAAGGCTGCTGTTAGAAACCATTGGGCCCCATACAGCCAACCTGACAGGGCCTCCACCCCCTACAAAAAATTAATGGTAGTTTATTATGCTTCAGTAATGAAGGAACACAGTGATTGATACTGGCCACTCATTGTGTTCATTCAGAATTGAAAGGGGCTGATAAATGTGACATATTTCCCGGAAACTTCCTCCACTCTCAATCCTGAAAGATCCTATTTTGTGCTTGCAGTTGCCAGAGGGAAGAAGAAGAGGGAAGCCGGCAGTACTGGGGTGGGGGCACACAGGGGGTCCTGAGCAGCAGGGGGAAATATATGGTGCACAGGGAGGGTGATGGGTACAGTGGGAGGAACCGATCTTTTGTATGGCTCTCTCTGCAGCAGCAAAAAAAGACAGCGAAAAGCCCAAAAAGAGCCATAAAGGGGATAGGTTCCAGTAAATGTGCACCCCCCCCCCCATTGTGTCGATCACCCTCCCTGCTCATATATGATTTACCAAGCTGCCTGGGCCCCCCTGCAGACCTGGGCTCTGTACATGAGGACTGGTGGTGCACCCTTATCCATGGCCCTGCTTGTAAGGATAAGACACCGACAAAGCTGTATGGAGATTGAGCCCTTTTAAAGGGCAAAGTGCATATTGACCTAACACAACAGGTCAAAAGCCTGAGGTAAGCATCCTGGTTGGAAAGTGGCAGATGCATTGATTGGTGGTGATTTATTTCAAATATTTACTCTGGTGAATGTTTTACATTTATATGGATTTAATTCAAGGAAGAAATTATTTGACTTTATACACTCATTGTTTTATTGTGGATACATTTTTCACTGTATTTTAACTATTTTCATATTATGTCGATGTTTTGCACAATAGTAGATGATTAATGAAGTTTATTTAGTCACATGTATTGAATGTCATCATGCAGATGTGTTGCATTTATATGATATTTAGATATATTAATTGAACAAGCTGAATTTGCTACCATGCACAGCTGCTCTAGATTCTGAGTGCACCAGTTTTAGTAAATCCCCCCCAGTATGTATAAGGAGCCTATAGCTAAGGGAGTCGAGCACTACAAGATTGTTCCACCAACATATAAGTGCTACCAAAAATACTGCCATATAGGCATATTATTACTTTTATTCTATGTGCTTATTGCAGACATACTTTCATTTCTGAGTATTTAGGCTCCATGCACACTAGCATTTTTTTAAGCTTCTAGAAGCTGTTATCAGCTCCTAGAAGCTAAATAGTGTTATCCTATGTGTCCATGCACACTGTTTTAGGCTAGTAGTGTTTTTCAAGCTTCAGCGTTTAGGATCAGAAAAAAAAATCATTTTTGTAGAGTTTTGGGAGCGTTTTTTCCAGCATAAAAACGCTGAACACTCCTATATGCTACTGAAATGCTCCTAACAGCTTTTTCTAGCTTTTTTTCCCCTACATTTCCTACATGTACTGTTAAAAAGGTTATAAATACTCTAACACTCCTAAATTATTATTATTATTATTATACAGTATTTATAAAGCGCCAACAGTTTGCTCAGCGCTGTACATAACAAAGGGGGACAGAACATGTGACAGTACAATAACAATACAATGCGATACACGAGGGGTTCGAGGGCCCTGCTCTTTGAGCTTACAATCTAGGAGGGAGGGGATAGTGGTACAGGAGGAGATAGCTGTGGGGAATGGAGTGGTAAGAAGAGTGGAGGAGGTTGGCAATTAGCAGGGGGTGGGGTAGGCTTCCCTGAAGAGATGGGTTTTCAGGGTGCGCCTAAATGAGAGGAGAGTAGGTGATAGTCTGATGGATTGGGGTAGGGAGTTCCAGAGGATAGGTGATGTCCTGGAGAAATCCTGGAGGCGGGCATGGGAGGAGGAGACCAGGGAACTAGAGAGAAGGAGGTTTTGAGAGGAGCGGAGTGTGCGTGTTGGGTGGTACTTGGATATTAGGTCGGTGATGTAGTTTTGGCAGTATGATGGACAGCTTTGTATGTCAGTGTTAGGATTTTGAATTTGATCCGTTGTGCAATCGGAAGCCAGTGAAGTGATTGGCAGAGGGGGGTGGCGGAAATGGAGCGGTTGGTGAGGTGAATGAGTCTGGTTGCCGTGTTCAGGATCGACTGAAGTGGGGATAGCCTGTGGTGAGGCAGGCCAGTGAGGAGGGAGTTGCAGTAATCGAGTCATGATATGATGAGGGAGTGGATGAGCTGTTTAGTAGTGGTTTCTGGGGTTAGGAACGTGCGGATTTTGGCGATGTTGCAGAGGTGGAGTCTACATGAGTTTGTTAGTGACTGGACTTGGGGCTGGAAGGATAGGTTGGAGTCCAGAATGACACCAAGTACTCTGCCCTGCGGGGCGAGCCTGATAGTGGCATTGTTGGACGTGATGGAGAAGTCAGTGGGGGGTGGTGTGCGAGCTGGGCGGAAGACTAGGAGCTTGGTTTTGGAGAGGTTCAGTTTAAGGAAGTGGAGCGACATCCAGTCTGATATGTCGTTTAGTAGGTTTGTGATTTGGGCGGAGACAGAGGGGGTGTCAGGGCTCCAGGGTATGACCAGAGGTATGTGAACTGACGCAGGGAAACGCAAGCTTCAGATAAGTTATAAACAATATAATTTATTAACACTGACAATACATAAACGCAGTGCAATACTAAAACATAACATAGTGTAAACGAACCAAACCAAACCACCCACAGATAACAATACATTCAATGCAAGCGTCGTCAGGCAGGCCGGGTCAATAACAATCAGGCAGGTAGGAACAGGAGGAGCAGGCAGAGAGTAGTCAGGTCACGAGCCGGGTACAGCAACTAACGGGCAGGTAGGTACAGGGGGTCAGGCAGAGAGTGGTCGGGGTCACAAGCCAGGGATCAAACAGGAGAAGTCAGCAGAGGTCCGGATCAGGCAGGGTCAGCAACGAATCAGTCAGACAGGAACAGGAACAGGAACAGGGGCCCATAGAAAAGCACACACCAAGGCACAGACTGCAGGTCTGGCCATCCCTTAAATACACCTGCATAATCAGCTTCAGGTGTTTGGCTGACTACAGGGTTGAGTCTCTGACTGCTGAGAGCACCCGCTGGCCAGCCCTGGTACTGCAGCCCACAAGGCAGGTGAGTCCCACCATTACTGGCAAGTCCATTCCTGACAGTACCCCCCCCCCTCAAGGAGTGGCCTCAGGATGCTCCAAACAGT